ATGAGGCTATTTTAAAAATCAATAGATTACAACAGCAAAAAAAAATTAATAATGTGACAGTACAATGAAATGTCTTGGTAGTAAGTGTAGGCTAGAAGCCAAGGCCTTAGAGACAACTACAGCAGAACAGAGTGACTTCTGAAAGCTTCACCACCTTAATCTAAATCTTAAAAGATGGGTAAGGTTTGAATTTAAAATCCTATTTTGAATTTAAAACCCTTTGTTTGACTGCAAACAAAGCAGAGAAGCAGCTGTGTTTGTGAAGAGTAATAAGGAATTCACAAATAGGTACAAAAGGATCAAGTAGAAACTACAAAACAAAATAGGGCAGTAGAGTAAAGGATTAAAAGAACTACTAGAAATAAAAGTTTCTTTGTTCTTTGTATCCACAAGAACCCAGGAGGCCAAGGTTTACCTTGTTTGAAGGGATTACAGTGAGAAATAAAAATGCCTATGAAGAATCATACTTTATACAAAATAGAGGAAATATCCAGTGACTTTATAGGTGTACAAAATAAACAGGCAACATGTAGCTTGATAACGAAACTCACAAGACAAGACATCATGAATTACAATGGAAATAAAGATGCTCATGAAGACATTCCAAAATAATTAGTTTTCTTATTATTACTCATCAAAAGCAAGACATAAATGAATGCCACAATTTTAATATGCTTACCTCACCAAGAAAACTTTAAAATGTACCTTTTTATAAAAAAAGGGAAATATTCTGAAAACCTATTCATATTTCACAGTCTCAAGCACAGCTTTGATTTTTAAGAAAGGTAGATTCTTGTCGTCCCAGATAAAATGTGAAGATTCTGAACCACCAGTCACCTCTGAGTCACCCAACTTCTCAATTTTGAACAATTACTTTCCAAACAATTAAAGGCAAACTGAGACAAGAACAACTTGGATTCAATTACTCAAGTCCCATTCCATTTTTTATTTAAAACTATCCACTGACACAACAAGTCTTTAGGAGTGATATATATGCAAAACAACATTTAGCCAAGGCACACTGATAATCTCTAGTTCCCCACTCTTATCATAGCATGTACGTTGCGCCCCAGAAAATCACTCTGTTATATCTTATTTTTTCATTTGTGTGTGCCACATGTTCCAGCAGTTAAGCAGTTATTATATATGCATTTGATTATAAGTGAGAGATTAAGACGTTGGAAAAGTTTCATTACGTTCATTCAAATTTTATACTAGAGTTAATTTGTTTTCTTTTTTTTCTTTTCTTTTTTTTTTTTTTTTTTTTTTTGCCTTTTGGGTCACACCCGGTGATGCTCAGGGGTTACTCCTGGCTCATGCACTCAGAAATTGCTCCTGGCGGTGCTCAGGGGACCATATGGTGTGCTGGGAATCGAACCTGTGTTGGCCATGTTGGCTGCATGCAAGGCAAACGCCCTACCCGCTGTGCTATCGCTCCAGCCCTATACTAGAGTTAATTTTGACAATTCTCCTCAACCACTAGTTGAAAGTTTCACTTTAAAGGAATAATATCTATGCAACTCTCACCAAGATTTTATAGCCCTCATATTACTAAAATGTAGGAAAACTTTTGCTACTGAGAATCTGGGGCTGAGTAGCACAGGTTAAGAGCCCTCTCCAACTATCCAGGGGCTGAGGTTCACTATGACTTTGGCCAGAGCTGAATGAGTAACCTCACGGAAACCATTATACCTCTGGAATTCTCTTATTTTCCTCGTCTACAAAATGAGAAGACTGAACTCTCAAATGTATAACAAAATGAGACAAAAGTAAATTACACTTTAACCAAGTATACAAAATTGTAGTAAATTTTCTAGTATGATTGTTATTGTGTATAAATATTTTTAGGTAAAATATATTTTGTATTTAACAGTTAACTATTTACTCTTTTTCTTTTATTTTAGGGGGCACACCCAGTAGTGTTCAGGAGTTAATGCCAGCTCTTGGTGGTGTTGGTTGGTTCCATGGATGCTGGAATTGAACCCAGGTTGGCCATGTGAAAGGCAAACACCCTACTACTGTACTATTACTCTAGTTCATTAACTGTTTACTTTGTGTTGTAATAATTTAAATATTTGATACCTATGTATCTAAAAAAGTTCTCTTTAGGTGCTTTAATTTTTAATAGAGTTGTAATTTTTGATTGATGAGGAAAATCAGAAAAGACAAAAGTAGCAATTTCATTTTCTCCAGCTCTTCTTCCTTTAACTGCTAGTCTGTATCATTATGGTTTAAATAGTAAAAAAAAATTAATTAGAAAAATCACAATCTTTGACAAATGAGTTAAAAATGGAGAAAGGAAAGCCTCTATAGTAAATGGTTATGGAAAACAGCATGTGAGAAAAAAAGAACAGACCCCCATCTCACACCATGCATAAAACCAAATTCTAAATGAGTTAAAGATCTTTTTATAAAACCTAAATTCAGAAAGTATATAGAGGAAATATAGGAGAACTCTTCATAATATCAAATCTAGAGACATCTTCAGTGATTCAATGCCATTAACAAACTAACAGAAGAAATGAGAAATGAGACTACATCAAATTATAACACTTCTGCACTGCAAAAGAAATAATTAACAGAATTAAAAGACAACCCAAGGACTAGGAAAAACTATCACATACTACTCATCTTACAGCAGGATAATATCTAAAATATAAAAAGCACTTGTAAAACTTAACATGAAAAGAAAAATCAACCTCATCCAAAAATGGAGAGAAGAGATTAACAGAAACTTCTTTAAGAAAGATAAACAGAAAGCCAATTGATATATTAAAAATAGATATATGATGTTTTGCATCACTGATCATCAGGAAAATGCATCAAAACAACAAATGAATTATCACCTCACACCAGTAAGGCTGGCACACATCACAAAGAATAGAAACAACCAGTGGTGACATGAATGTGGGCATAAAGGAACCCTCATCTGCTGCTGGTGGGAATATCAACTGTACAAGCTTTTGAAAAACAATATGGATAATCTCAAAAAACTAAGAATTAAGCTTGTGTATAAACCAGAAATTATACTTCTTGGCATCTACCCCAAGAATCCAAAAATTCTATCCAGAAAAGACATTTGTGCTCCTATGTTGTTTGCATCACCATTTATAATAGCCAAAATCTAGTAACAACTTATGTCTAAGAACAGAGGACTGGATAAAGAAATTTTGGTATGCATGTGCAATGGAATACTGCTCAGCTATACGAAAGCTAAAATCATGGAATTTGCCACTAAATGGAGGAAACTGGAGAGTGCCATGCTGAGTGAGAGTTAGCTGGGAGAGGTGCAGACACAGAACAATTTCTCTCGTGTGAGATAGATACATATATATGAAGAAGATATATATATTAAGAAGAGAATAACAAATGTCCCAAAGCAATAGAATGTGGGAACTCGTCAACAGAACTGATCTTACCCTTCTGGGGAGATGTTTAGGGGTTTACAGGGAGACTCAGTGGTGGAGGGAAGCGAACACTCTGGTGGAGGGCTGGAGTCGGAACACTATGCATGGAATCTTATCACTAGCATTATTATAAAACACGTTGACTCTTAATTTGTGAAAGTACTATTATAAAAGTACTTTTAAATTAATTTTTAATTAAAATGACTTGTAGTACTTTTACTTTACAAAAAGTTTCTTAAGCAAGGTAAATATATATATAATTATTATATAATTATATATAATAATTATATATATAATTATTGTATCACTGTCATCCTGTTGTCATCGATTGCCTTGAGCAGGCCCCAGTAATGTCTCCTTCGTCCTAGCCCTGAGATTTTAAAAGTGCACATTCAAGGCTCTTTCAGGGTCAAGAGAATGAGACCCATCATTGTTACTGGTTTTTGGCATATTGAATACGCCACAGGGAGTTTGCCAGACTCTGCCATCTGGGCAGGATACTTTTGGTAGCTTGCCAGGTTCTCCAGAGTAAGACCTAGATAATAAGATAACATATATATATATATGTGTTATATATGTATAACATATATATATAACAAAAGGTAAAGGTAAAGGTAAAGGCCCTCCCGTTGATCGTCAATTTGCTCGAGCGGGCCCAGTAACGTCTCCATTGGAGACTTTGTTGTTACTGTGTCTGGCATATCGAATACTCTCGGTAGCTTGCCGGGCTCTCCGAGAGGGGCGGAGGAATCGAACTCGGGTCGGCCATGTTGGCCGCTTGTAAGGCGAACGCCCTACCCGCTGTGCTATCGTTCCAGCCCATATAACAAAAAGGGGAAAAATTATATTGTTTTATATATATATAGAACAATTTTTCCCCTTTTTGGTGTCTGGGATCAAACTGTGGTGTCAGGGCCTTCTAAGTGCAAAGTAAGCACACCAGGCTGAGTTACTCTTTGACCTCAATTCTCCCTTTTAATTCTATTACACAAAACAAATTATTGACCAAAATCACATCAGAACAATATGTGAAATCCTACATTATGTACAAAAATCACACTAATACGGACTTAGGAGAAAGAAGGAAGAAATGTACTAGAAGTCATTTAGCCAAATTCAAGCTATTTAGCAAGTTATTATTAACACTGAAGTTTATTCAATTTATGGCTTTCTATTTCTTAGTATATTTCTAAAGAACAAATTGATAGTCTGATATTTTTCTCTCAGAACATTGTGTGCTATAATTCATGATGGCAACCCAAACAGTTAATGTTTAATTTTGGGGACAACTTATGCCTGTACCATTTTAATGATCATATAGCTTCATTTTAATGATCATATAGCTTCATCCCCAAATTAATCTGTTACTAGGTTAAATCATTCCAAATTCTTTTTTCTGCAATCTTCAGAAGTAGTTGTCACATAGTTTCAATCAAAGAGTAATAAATCTATATTTACTTTTAGGCAGCTGGCTTATAAGTCCCTGGATATGTATAATTTCATAGAGTGAACTCATTTTTATATTATACCAACAATGGCTTATCTATATAATATCAACTTGGAGAAATTTTTTAACTCAAATTTTATCTTTACCTTTTTCAAGAAGTTTGCCCTTGTAGACACAAAGGTTTTCTCCACCACAGTGCTGTTGATAAACTTTTATTTCATCCCGGAAGTCTGGGTGATCATAATAAGATAAACGTACATTTTTTCCAAAATACATCATTGTAATAGTTGCATTACTATGCAGAGGTATTTTATGAATCCTTTTTGATTCCTATGAAAAACAAAAAGAGTGCTTGTGCTTATTAACTAGCCAGCTCTAATCATAGTGCACAGATATTGTAAATGAATAGAAAAGTTTAGTTTTACATACCCTACAGTATAACCTTTATAAAATGCACACAAACTTACACCCATTATAAAATGAATTATTCAAGCAATTATGTATTTTGACTTTATATTCTTATTCTTAATGCAAATGCTGGGTGTTTATGCATTTTTTACTCTTCCTGTTTTTTTTATACAACAAAAATATCAATGATCTTAGAGGAAATTGCTCTTGACTCTTTTAGCTGGTTCTCAGATTAAGTTAAATCAAATTAAGTATTGGTGATATTACCTTGTTCTAATATAACTTGACATTGATTGTGATTTTACAATTATTGTTGAATGCTTTGCCCTTAAAAACTGACAAAATATTTTTCTCTAAGCTTATTTTATGTGACGAGAGACAGATATTTAATTTTTCTATGGTCACTGAAGATCTGAGAGAATATATGTTCTACGTCCGTAGTTATTCTGTTTCACAGAAGGCATCCAGTTCAACAAAGATATAACATTATTGCTATTTTTAAAAAAAAAAAATAGGTGAGTGCTTCATTTAAAATATGTCTTTTTTAAGAAGATACAATAATACATTTTTAGAGCACTCAAACATAACATCCCACTTATCCTTCAAATTAGAAGGCATAATATGTTCCCAGTAATGTAGTTCAATGGTAGGTGTATGAGGCCTGGGATTTGATGAAATGCTTCTTCAATCAGAGACTACATCACCTTGACATTTTTAAAAAACTTTCAAGAAAGGCGCTATTGTAATATCACTAAGATTGCTGTAATTCTTTTTCAACTGTAGCCTTTATGATTTTAAATATACTATTTTAAATATAAAAAATACTATTTTAAGTATAAGACAGTAAGCTAGAAACAAAAAATTACCTCATAAACTCATTGTCTATTATAAAATAAGCAATAAACATACGTAAGATGAATAAAATCCTTTTTCCCCTATGTTTATGTTCCTAAATTTTTCAAAATAATAAGTGAGCATTATGGAAAGATTAGAAAATAATAGAAGGAAGGAATTAATGATCATAATGATCCTACGCAAATAGGAATGGCTTGAAACTTAGAAGATCTAGTGAGAATAATAGCAGTTTCAAGAATTACACAAAGGCCAGAAATTACTTTTAACCCATTTCACTTTTCTACAAATAAAATTTCCAATACATATAAAAGGTAAATTGCATAAGTATCAGTGAAAGACAGCTATCTGATTTTACAATTCCTAACCATGTTTGTTATTTTTTTAAAAGAAAAGATGCCACAAAAATTTCTGAGAAAACAACTGAAATATTTCCATATACAAACCTATCCCCTTCCCTCTCAGAGAAATTTTTTCCCCTCAAATGATTCTATTTCTCTGCAATAAAAACCTGGGGAAAGGAACTTAATTAAGTGAAATTCTGCCAAAGACAGTTTGAAAAAGTGTCAAGGGCTGGACTGTGAGATTTAAAACTGAAGCAAATTATCTTGCCTATGGACAAAAAGCTCACAAATAGAGATATAATCAACCGAAATATTTCAGGGACAACAAGAGCCATGAAGGTAAATCAGCAAACTGGAAAATTCTTAGCAGATTAGAAACATTTCCCTAAGTCTCAGCTGAAAGCAAAGGAAAGATGGTAGGCCTGGCTCCTCCTTGCAATATCATCCTGTTTCCCCTTGCCTGAGCTAATGTAGTGCTGTGACACGCAGTGTTGCAGCCCACTGCACAATCAGCAGCCTAAAGTAAATTCAGCTCCAAGTGCTCACTCAAACATTTAATGATATGGATTCAAAAAAAAAAAAAAAGCTGCTCACTTTTGTTAAGCATTACTTTCTAAAGTAGCAAAGGACTCAAAGGTGAGCTTCTGGGAGATTAAGCACAATATAAACACAAATAGTGGGATTAAAGTGAAGGAAAGGCTAGTCTCACAAGTACAAAATGAGAAACTAGAGGAGAAATGTTTCCAAATAAAATAAAGGAAATGACAGTTTTTCACACTTCTCATTTATATATTTGTGACTGGGGTCTCTTCTGTTACCCTCTCGAAAAAGTCACGGTCACGGTCCTCCCATTGTTCATCGATTTGCTTGAGAGGGCCGAGTAACATCTCCATCATGAGACTTGTTGTTACTGTGTTTGGCATATCGAATACGTCATGGGTAGCTTGCCAGGCTCTGCCGTGCCAGCAAGATACTCTTGGTAGCTTGCCGGGCTCTCCAAGAGGGGTGGAGGAATAGAACTCGGGTCGGCCATGTTGGCCGCTTGTAAGGCAAACGCCCTACTGCTGTGCGATCGCTCCAGCCCCTCGAAAAAGTATTGTTGAAAAAAAAATTTTTTCTTCCTTGGTTTGATTACTTTGATCACTTGATCACTTGACTTCCTGTTGATCATCGATTTCCCGAGCGGGCAGCAGTAACTGATAGTTCAGGGTCTTGACGAAGAAGTTTGACCATCTGGTAGGTGGGCGGCCATGCAGTCTTTTGACCTCCACTACCTCCACTACCCAGCCGCCACCACGCTCCAGGATGCTTTCCGGATGCTTGGGCCAAGACTCACGCACAACTGATGCTCCACAGAACACTGTCACTGTCATTGTCTTCCTGTTGTTCATCGATTTGCTCGAGCGGACCCAGTAACGTCTCCATTGGAGACTTTTTGTTGTTGTTGTTGTTGTTACTGTGTTTGGCATATCGAATACATCACGGGTAGCTTGCCAGTCTCTGCTGTGCGGGCGAGATACTCTCAGTAACTTGCCGGGCTCTCCGAGAGGGGTGGAGGAATCGAACTTGGGTCAGCCATGTTGGCTGCATGCAAGGCAAATGCCCTACCGCTGTGCTATGGCTCCAGCCCTTCCACAGAACAAGATAAGCAGAACTCTGAGACCTTGGACTCTAGGCTCAACGGACCCGGGGATAGAGATTCTCTGCTTGCTCCCACCAACCACAGGAGAGGAAGGGATTAAAACCAGGAACCCCACCCTACCCTGCCCTGTCTGCTTCCACCAACGGCCAGAGCCCCAGGGATTGGATTGCGCACAAAAGACCCACCCTGCTGCTGCTGGTACCAGATAAATACCTCACTGAAAGACCTCCACTACCTCCACTACCCAGCTGCTGCCATGCTCCAGGATGCTTTCCATACTGCACGGCCGCTTTGCACTTTGCTGACGCGTGACACATTATAAGACACTTAATACCCATTTTCCAGAATTGCCACACCATATTTGATAGGGTTCAAATATGGTTTGAGTCTCTTAAATGGTGAATTTAAGAGACACAGAGTGGCAAAATGGATACAGAGACAAATATGGTTTGAACCATGGGAACACCTACAAGGGCAATTAGAGGCCGCCCCAAAAGCCTCGATCCCTCTCGGAGCTCCTGGCAAGCTACCGAGAGTATTCCACCCTCACGGCAGAGCCTCGCAAGCTATCCATTGTGTATTCAATATGCCAAAACCAGTAATTACAATAGGTCTCATTCCCCTGATTACTTTATTCTTTAAAAAAATATTCTTCAGCCATTACCACCAAATAATGTTTTCTGGCTTCTCAGGGAGATCTAAGAGAAAGTTAGTGTTTTTAATATATCTACTTTAAAACAAACAATTGCTTCCTTCAGGTAACTAAATTGACTCTAGACTAATCATCTTCTACCATAATAATGACCTAGACTGATAAACTTTAACAAGGCCTCAATGATCCCTTATATTGTCCTTAACCAAGTAACAAAAACATCCATGAAACTTCAGTTTTAATTAAAGAGGCTCAAGGCAACTCATGCCCTGGCATAACCAAGAGTTATCTTCTTTTCTTCACCTTTTGAATCAAGTTGCTTATGCCTTTTACTCCCCCACCTCACCCTGGCCCCTTTTTTCCCCCAGATTTCTCTGGTAAATATAATCTCAGCTGACAAACAGCAAGTCTGCTGAGTAGCTAACAAGTCGGGCATTTTATATTTGCAATACTTCAATACTTAACATTGATACACTATATTCACACTGGGTCTCAGCCCTACACAGACCTATTTGAGAGGTTAAGAGATTTATATACATGCCAAAGTATAGGTTCTCCATTCATTTAGCTAAACCTTGATGAACTCTGCACATAAAATCTTGCCTGAACCCAAACTTCTAGTTAGTGACTAGAGAATCTCATCCAAAATAGGGACACATAAAGAGTTTATTTTACTGGGTATATATGTTCTCCTACCAATTGGTTTACTTCTGTACTATGTCCCTCAAACTCAGTCACCTCCTGGATATCAGAATTCTCTATGGTCCCCAAAGAGAGTTGACTCTCCTGTTTAAGCTCTCTAACAAATGACAGTATCCAGGCATGAGAACTAAACATTTCTCAGACAACATAAAATGTCTTATATTCCCTTAGTCCTGTTTCCTAATCATAGTAATTTCCTGTTAGATTTAAATGAGCAGCAAAACAGAATGAATTGTAAAGGTCCAAACATTACCAGTGCATTTTTAATTTTTTAAACTTATTTTTAAAAATTTTAGTGACCATGATTTACAATACTGTTAATGATAGTGTTCCATGCATACTATGTTCCAACACAACCACTTCTCTCCACCATTGTCTCCCCTCAGTACCCTTATCTCCCCGCTATACTGAGCTCTATTTTTAATCTCTAAACCTATCTAGCTACCTGAACCACATAGCACTGAAACGACTTCCTTATATTCCTTTCTCTCAGAGGAATACAGTGTCTTGCTTCTCTCTGCCTCCAGAGCCTTGCCAGTGCTGGCTCCTAATACACACTGATCTGAATTAGGCATGGGAAAATTTGGCATTCCCTCCTTCTATCTTTTGCTGAGACAAAAAGGCTACAGTAGTTGATTTTGTTCTTGCTCTAAATCATTGGGTTCCCACACTTATAAGAATTCAACAGGCACCAAAATATGAAAAATGATTTTTTGGTTCATGGGATCCA